ATATTTGTTTTCTCTATAGGTGGACGAAGGCATAGAAGCAATGCTGTGCTGCTGGCTCCAACAGCTGCAGGAATTTGGGGGCCCAGAAGTCGATAAGCCTGATCTATTGAAGGGTTCTGTAGGTTCATTAAAGTCTCATCCTCAGCCTAAGAGTGCGGGCAGTACAACTAGCCTGGCTAGGAACTTCTTAATGGACCCTAAGGCAAGATACAATGTAAGTACGCTAAGAAACAAGATTATCAAAATAATTAATATCATTTAAAATATATGTGCATATATAATAAATATATTTCGTCCTTTCTCTGTGAGAAATTCTTGAAGGCTACGTATTTTCACTCATCGCGTTCTGATCAAGCTGTGTTCAGAAGTTCCAGAGTTTAACTACTGGCACGTGTCATTAATAATGAAAACAAATTTAGATCATGCCACAAAGAAATATGTGTTTCAAAGAAACCCAGTAGCAAGAATAAGAATAAAATTCAGGACTTCCTACAATGTAAATTGAGTAAGGTTGAGCACATGCTTATTTACTAGCGACGTTATTTCAAGTGCAATATATCTGACTTGTATTCTAGAGTCTGCTGGGATCTCAGCAAGAAAGAAAATATAAATGCTTAGTGATTTTCAAAGGTCTATCCAGTATAATCTCGGAATATTACCATGATGAAAGTGGATTCTCTCTGAGGACTGGTATATCATTCACAATACCTAAGCCTGTCACCGCATTCGATGTTAATTAATTTTACACTTCATCCAGAATCATCAGATAACCTATGAACCAACTCAATGTAAAATTTAAGTATAAGTTGCACTTTTAGGACAAACGAACAGGTTACTTAGAAAAACAAGATTACTTAAGATTATCGTCCATTTCATTCATACATGCTGTTCTTTTCCCAAAACTTCCGGTTCAAAATTATATTGCAGCAGCATCAGATATAACAACAAACAACCTCAAAACTGAGCCCACAAGAGCCGACTACTCTACCCCATTCTGAGCCTCATATCTTCCGATGTTTCTTGCTTCCTGTTAAAGAATGTACACAAATGCGTCGAGTGATGCAACATTTCATGTAACAGAGCAAAATTTTGCCAATCCCCGGCTCACCCTGACAGATGGGGGATTGGCTCTCCGCATCTGTGTATCCAGTACGTTGACAACTGTCCTCCGTGTATAAGATTTCAAGCAGATCAAGTCAGTTGTATCAGGGAGGGAATTCAGAAGCACAGAGATGACAGTTCACGCGGAAGGATCCCATCAGAATTCCAGTTAGATATCGAGTTTCGCAAGCGGCCAAGGCGATCTTTTCAGTTCCATTTGATTTTATATCGCTGCCTAAAGAACTTGGCAGAGAAAGTTGTCTTTAAGTACATATTTCAGAAGTGCACACTTCAATACTTGTTTCTTTGCAGGGAGATTTGGTACAGCTGAAGGAGATTCCACTTCAGGGAACGTTCGAGCTGAAGAACAAGGCCATGGATGTGCTCGTTACAGTAAGTATATTGTACCTCACTAGTACTATATAATGTTTTTCACTAAGTAACTAACGGCCGGTCACGGTAGCCAAGCGGTCTGAGGCATGTACTGTCTTCCCTCGCTCGGAAGCCGGAATCATATGTTTGAATCCCACACAAGGCATGGATTTTTGGTATGTGTATGTGTTTACTCTGTGTTTGTGTTGTTCTTTGTTTAGGTAAAGGTCTTGAGACGAGCTGATCACTCGTCCAAGGAGCCCTTCCGTCTGTAAAATGATCATGAAACTGAAAATCAGAGTCCAGAACCCAAGAGGGCTGTAGAGCCAGTGGAAAAGGCTAACTAAACGAGCAGGGCGTCCGTTGAGAAGCCAACACATTATCGGCTTCAAGAAATTTTCGACTTTTACGGAACTGAAAGCGTCATAAGGTGCACCTAGGAGACGGAAACTGGACTCTATTCTGAGCCATATGAATCCAGTCCATTCCCCTACACACAAAATTTTTAAGACCAAATTTGGCAACAAATTTTACCTAAGCTTATTTCTCCCATGTGGTTTCTTCCATTCAGATTTGAATCTTTATGTTTACCTAAGTATGAGAGAACAAATTTCACACCCATATAAAATAAGGAGTAAGATTTTTGTTTCAGTAAAATAAAGTTATGCTCGTGCTCAACTAAACAAAAATTCATGAAGACTTTTAACGGAGTTGAGGTTTAAGATTCATTCATTCCTAATCTGGACACTGGCTCGAGCTGAATGGTCACTTCGCTCTCTTGCCGTTATGCTCCAGAACAAAGAGCCCTTGGTTTGGTACCCCTTGAAAAGATGACGGAAATAAATAATTCAGCCTCTTCCAGTAATAGAAGTCCTGCCGTCAAGCCCGTAATCTCAACGTACTGACTAAGCTATCTAAGCTAAGCTGTTGTTACAGTGTCACCAAAATTAAAAATTAGTTGTCACTGTGCATGACACTGCTTTGTGAAATCTGTACATACAGAGAGATTAGTTAACGTGCAGTCATTACCACGATCGTCGCTTGATGCGTGTCTGTACTTGGTTCTCAGCACGAACGCCATATTGTCGAGTAAGAATGCTGGGATATCGCCAGAATATTGTAGCGTGTAGTACCGTTGTTATGCAATGATCACGAGAAATAGCATGCGTTGCTTAGTTAAGGCCGGTAAACACTCCAACGATATCCGAGCTATCGCTAGAAAACCGCCCATGACGACATTAGAGGGACTGTTGGAAGCGGTGTTTTCTGTTGGGTCCGCCCCGAGACTATAGAGCGAGGACTTCACGCTGGTTCAGTGCAGTTCAGTTGAGTGAAGTGAAGTAAATTTGTTGGTTTGTCAGTGAGAGAGTTCAGTTGTCAGTAGTCAGTTGAAAGTCAGTCTGCGTATAGAAGGCTAGGAGGTTGGTGTGAAATGGCCGCCAACCTGGGACCCAGTTAATTGAGAGTTGCCAGTTCAGTGCAGTTCTGTACGGAAGATTATGAAGAAGAGAGTTAGTTGTAAGAGTGGAGCTGTAAAAAGTTGACTTTATATGTGATATTTGGGGTGTGTAATTCAGTGAGACTCTTGTAGTTCCTGTGTTAAAGATGTTGCCAGGAATCGACTAGTGAGGACTGTAATGGACTGAGGACACTACTCTGTGTGTGTCAATGATCTATAAAATATAGCTCCGAGTGGTGTATTGTATTGTATTGTACGAGTATTGTATTGTATTGTATTGTATTGGAGAGGGTGGGTTTCCCCATGCACTTAGACCAACTGTTGGTCCAGTGTGCGTCCCCCTGTGATATTCTACCAGTCTCTATTCCCTACCGATACTGGTGCGTACCATCAGTCCCGACGCAGCCAGCGAGTTCGGCCTCTACTGGCTCAGCGGTATCTCGATGCTTCCCCCATCTACCAGAGGCGTTAGAGACGACTCTTGGGCGGGAAATATCCTGAATTTGGCTCCGAGTGGTGTAAAAAAGTGGTCAATAAATCATTTATCCAATCCGTACAACATCTATAGTTACACTGCTAAAATCGTGACAATATTATAGACGTGTCAGTGTTAAGAATAACAAAGTTCCTCTTCGAAATCGAACCCTGGTCTTTCAGATTACTAGTACAGTCAATGAACCAATTCCATGGAGCAGATTCCTGCTTGAGAAACTGATCGTAGCTAATAAAAGACGGACAATCTTTTGATCAGCTGGTAAATTGTCAATTTAACAAGAGAGACTCTGGTCCATAGAGCTAATTCATGTACTAGCATAGCTTTACGTTACGACCACTCTATAACTCGCTGCGTGGACCTCACATTAGTGGATACTTAACCCAATACGCACTTTTGCGCCTCAAACACGCCGCCACATAGCTGATTAATAACTCAATGTTTATTTAAATAGGGGTTTCTGTTCTAAGTAGAATGCTGTTTGTCTATTTTGTTTAATACTGAAACAGGGATCTTTGTGTTTATTTCATGCTGTTTATGATTATATCGCATATTTATGCAATTCCACCGAACGTAAACCCAAGACATTTCTATTTCTCCAAGCACGTCGCATGTGTTCACTGTGAACTTAAAATTACGTCATACACTTCACTCTAATTAATTTTACAGCCAAGTATATCGAAATAACAAGAAGTTCTGGGAAAAACTAACCGCCTACTTCCTTTTGTTTCGGCACGTTTTCGAAAACGAAAAAAAAATTGGGGGAGACACACAGATACACAGACAGCAATGTTATATCATAATCCTAAAAAAATAGATGGGATACACAGCAAGTTAATGTCATAAGTTTCCTATTTTTTTTAAATAAGGAAAGTAGGCTAAAAGTTTCACGTTTTGTTACATACTAGCAACGGAAGCGGCAGAACGAACCTGGCTTGCATTCCTGAAGTCCTCACTCCTTCCCCAGTATCTGCTGTTCTGATTTAGGTTTCTTGTCGTTCATTTCAGTTTTGTATTAAAACTGTACGGAGAGCAGCTTCAATTTTTCCCATACCTGTGTTTAAGTTTAGTAAAAAGTTAGGTATGCTTTTCCTATTGAAATCCCACAGGAAATCCTACTGTATTGAATTAATAACTCTATACTGCGATATTTGGTATTTGCTCAGATAGTCAATTTATTTACGGTATTATTCATAGACTAGCAGAAGGCATTTGACCGTTTAAACTGGACCAAATTAATGCAGATCCTAAAGGAAACAGGTATCGATTGGCATGAAAGAAGATTGATTAGCAAATTGTACATGGATCAGGAAGAGTACGACTGGACAGAGGGGGAGATAGGAAGTGTGCAGATTGGAAGAGGAGTTGGACAAGGATGCGGTTTATCACCAATTCTGTTCAACTTGTACAGCGAATGCCTTACC